TGCATTGCATTGTTGCAGTTGATTTATGTTCAAGCCAAAATACTCATGTTATAGATTCTCATGTTTATGAATTGATAATCTGTTGGCAATAGTATTTGTGAAAAATAACAAAAGGAAGTTTTGTTTGTAAACCCTGCATTATTGTCTTGAAATTATCAACAATGTTTTTAATTTGTTGTGAAACATAAAATATTGATGTTTAAAATAAGTTTTAGCAACCTGCAGATTCCTGGATGATGCCCACTACATCCACTGGAAAAACATTCTAAACTACAGATTGGGTGTTCTCAAATGTAAGTACCTAACACCTATAGTGACTCCAGATTAATAGTTTTCATGAACATAATTCAACTCTTAACCAATCTGAGCAAGTCTAACATTGGGAATTGATTATATAAATCATCAGGATGGTAAATTAATGATTCACATCTTTGCTCTTTATTCAAGATGTTTTTACAGGTTTACAAAAAAATCCAGGGATCATTCTGATTCTTTTTCATTTATTTAATTTGGAAATATAAACAAGGGTGGTTTCAGGCTTTTTTGTCAGTCAGTGTGTATATTATATATATATTCTGTTTATAACAAAAAAAACTCAATTTATTGACCATTAACTCATTTCTTCTTCTCACTGAATACTGTACTCACTTCCAGTTGAAGTATAATATGTTCTGAAGATATAGTAGAGTAATTCAGATAACCAGATAAAAAAAAAACAGTGGCATTTTGATCTATCCATTTATTAAAAAAAAATACTTTTGGTTTGCTTTTGGTAAGGAGTATATACATATGAATAAGGTATCTCAGATTATACATATACCCACATGGTACATATTCATACAAATATCTTCATGAATATTATTTTGGTTTGATAACATTCAAGTGTTTTTTCCCTGAATAACTTTTAATTTTTCTTTCTCAGGTTCAGGTACATGAAAGGAGCAAATTCAAAGAAGTTTTGGAAGAATCAAACAATCTGTCCCTAGTGGTAATTGGAATTTTGTTTTGTTTCACACTAGCAGTGGAATATCTAAAAATTTGTTTCAACAAAAGACATCAGGAATCTCAATCATCTGCCTATTTGCAATGGAATGGCCCAAACAGTGCATGAACATTTGACATTCAAGTTAAGGATTAAAAAATGTACCGTTTTCAATATCAATATGTTGTTCCTTCCATGAAATTTTCAATATGTAGTGTGGTTATGACAAAAATGAAATATTATGATTATACAGGTATGATGCAAAAACTGGCCCTTTAAATTTGTACACTCATAATACATACAATACAATGCTTGGAGTGGCATGAAACAATGTTCCATATTGAATAAGTTATAAAGTTACCAATAATAGGAATACTGACTATTTAGATCTTCCATTCCTATAGTGGATGGTGCTGGAAATGTAACATTATATGTAATAAAATGCAGAGTGACCTGTCTGCAAAAATAGATAGTTTATTCTTCCATTGTGATGGAGAATAGTTCCTGTGGGCTACTTTTCATTAGGACACCCTGAATTGTATGTATAGTGAGGTACTAGGCATGAATGAATTGGATGATTATTTTTGTGAAATTTTTATTTACAAATTTTCAAAAGATTACAAAATTCGTTTCAATATGTTATTGCAACATTTTATAGGAATTCCTCATTTTGCATTGGCGGAGGGAGAGGGGTCTAGAACTTTTGGTCAACTGCAAAAAATGTATCAACTTAAATTTCCAATCACAGATTATGAAGCTCTCCATGATTAGATTTGCCTTAAGGAAGCCAAATATAAGTTTCCCAACTCCCATTGTGGGATTTTTGTCCTCCAAGGGATCATATTCTTCACTCTTGACGTCCCTGGATAATTCATGAACACTTTCATCACCTTGAGAGTGACATTGCCGAGTGAGGCGCTTGACCAATGATCCGAGCATGTTTCTCTCCATAAGTCTCTATAGTTTGAATCTGCGGGTCCATAGAATAGGGATTGTAGGATTTTTGTGAATGTTTGGTGGTGGGTTTACTCAGGTCAAGTAGCCAAAGAAGCCCCATTAGGGCCTAGTTGCTAGTAGGTTTCTCCCATTACTATTTACCATCATCTTTCATTCTTGAAAGCAATTTGGTCAGGATATGTCCCCTAGAATTAAATACATATCAATAGTTCTGCATATGTGTGAAATAATGAATATCAAATTATTCTCTCATGAACTATTCTCCAAAAAGTCGCTAATAAAAATATCCAGAAAGATACTAAGGGAATCAGCCATCATTACAGAATATATATCTATAATTTCATCAATATTTTGGTGGTATTTTGGGTATATTCATGTTCCATTTCAAGTATATTTGACCTAAACAACCTGAACATATCATATGAATGATTCAATAGCAATATAACATTCAATATTAGTTTACCTAATTCAACAAATTCAGACTCACATGTTGGTGCTTTCCAATATTTTCTCTAAATAATTTTTTTAAAAATTTAGGCTCTTATAGAGCTGGTTATAATAATGTTTGTTCCCTAACAGCTAACCACCCAGACTATGGACGGTTTCAAACAGTGTCTTAGGTTATTTAAGTAATTTTTTTTCCACCCATGATCTTCTTTTTATAAATTCGATGATGATGATGACGCATTAATCCTTCAAAACATGTCCTTTTGTCCATGACCATTGGTCATTATTAAATTGTTTGTGTGGAGAAGTTGTGACTGTAAGTCCTTTCACCCCTCCTGATTAATATCACTCTCAGTTATGGATCACCTATAAGTTGGTTATAATAATAATCATTAATTCCAAGTTTTAGTGATTAGAAATAGTGAATATTCAAGAACATCATTGTATTAGTCAAGCTAGAATTTTGATTCTTCAGTAAGACCACTTTTATTTGTAGTATAACTGGGTAATCTGATCAAAACAGATGTTTTAATATTTATGTACAGATATTAATATTGACCAATTAAAAAATACTCAAATGAGATTGAAGGGTTTCATATATTTGTGTGCTAGATCCATTTCTCTAGATTTTTTGAGATTCTCCTTTTTTCTATAAACAAAAATATGAATATTTTTCAATATATTCATTGAGAGACAAATCAGATGATTTGTCCCAAATTGTGTTGCTGAAAATTTCACTGGGGAATACCCAAAAAAGAAATGCCTTAGAAATAGTCAGTGACACCTTGTTTGAAAATATTTGTGGGCAAATATATAAGAAGAATATTATATTTTTACTTTTGATCTACTCGGAACGAATCTGCTCCCATTCTCAACAATACTGAGATGTGCCAACTGACAGAACACTGAGAAACTGTGCGAGAAGAATTCCTGTATTACTGTACTTTCAGTGACCAAAAAAGTTTCTGGTGACATGGTAACTATTCGGGAGAGATCAATATTCTAACTTTTCTATAGATTTTTCCAAGATGAATTCTTTAGTACAATACCAAAAACCTACATCAAATTTGAAAGACTAATATACAGGTTGTCATAACTATTGGGAAAAAATATACTGATAGGATCTTATATGCCTCCATAAAATATTGCTGTGGAAAAAGATACTGGGTGTTTCAATCAAAAAAGTATTGAATATAAACTGGCATCAAAATTAATTCACTGAGAAGAAATGTTATTTACCAGCAACAGTTATATGACAGTCCAAAGCACACAATTCATGAATAAAATAATATTTAAAATTCCTTTTCCAGACTTCATACTGTTCAATTGTGTTTTTCTCGAAAACGTATGAAAATACCGTTGTCAAACAGGAGTACCAATATTACATATAAATGATATTTATGTCATATTTTTTATTCAAAATCACTAGGAAGTTTCGTCAAAAGAAGGAATAATTTACATGGCGCCCTGTAACAAACATTGTACAGTCACAGTATATTATCCCTACTCTTACAGTGGTACAGTGGAATCATTAGCAAAAGAACTTGAAAAAATATTCAATTTCAATGCCCTGTATCTTTTTCCACATCAAAATTTTATTAGGGCATACCGTTCCTATCACCATATTTTGTTCCAAACAATCCGCCCTCAGCCTATGTCCCAATAGTTATGACTCACCCTGTATACAGAAACATTGTTATAAGAATAATTATTTTTTGCATAACACTAGCAATAAGTATACTTGTTGCACTGCATGTTTAGATTCATACTTTCTGCAATACACACTTTTTGCACTATTTAAGCAAATAACTATTCTGTAACTGATATTATTTTTGTGGATTTTTTAAATTTTCAGTGTTGAGGGCTCAGGCCATAGCCTAATACTCTTGTGATCATTGTGTTTGTACGAAAATACTTGAATAAAAAAACGGTGAATGAACTGAATTTTTATCCAGTCTCCAAAATTTCAATTAAGCTCTGAGCATTTTTTTCTGTCTATAATCAAAGTTTCCATTTTTCAAGGGCTCAGTCTCAGAACTATCATTATGTAATGATGATCTTTATCATTTTGTCTCATCATAGTATGAACTTGGTAAATCATAATAAATGTTCTGAACCACAGAAAATCATATAGAAAATTCTAAAGCTTGCTTGGTTTACTGCATTAATTTAGATGAAATGATGTGTATGTATGAGTATACATGCACAACCAATATTATATACCTATGTTGAATATACATTGCCTTGAAATTTAATTGGACTTGTGGTGAACATTTAGATTATACAAGATGTCTCCTTAATTACATGCTAGCATGACTTTTTGAGACCAAAACAGGATGATCAAATACCTCTTCACTAAAAAAAATCCTTTCATCCATCACAAGACTATACCTACTTATTACCATATTTAATGCACCTAAAAATGTTCATACCAATATAGCTACATCCAAGTTTTCACAGTATTCAAGAAAATCTTGAAACATTTGAAACTTTTGAAAATGTTCATCTAGTCCAAGTAATTTGTTAAAACATTTTCTACAAACCTTTTCAAGGTACCCTGTATATCAAACATCCTGTTGGTTTCTCTTGAAGAACATCTAAGAATTCAGGAGAGCTAGAGAGGTATGAAGAGGCATAATGATCCTATACCTTTTTTATGGAGGGTGCTTCTGAAAAATGTGAACCATCTGAATTCATATCCTGAAAAAATGTGATATTACTTACTGTCTAAAAATTTTCTGATTTTCAATAATATATGGGGAAAGAAACAGTAGAATTGTGTATAATTGCTTCAACTAACCCTGGTTAGTACAAAATTCACAAAACTTACCTAAATATCAAGATAATTGAAATTAGAGGAATTCTACTTGGAGTAGGTACTTGTATTCATTGTTTGGAAGGTATCTACATTATTTATAGCTACATACATTTTTGTATGTTTGTTGAATGGATCTGAAAATGAATCTACATTAGTCAAGACATTAGTGATAGCATCGTCCACCAAATTGGTGGACGATGGTGATATAGTGATCAAGGATATCCACAAAAACCATAATGAACAATATTGAAAATTGAAAATGTAACATTTAGCTGACTTTGCCATACTTTCACCCTCTGAACACTGTTCAATGATTCAAGCATTCACCAATTCATATCAATGTTCTTTAATAATTATAAGTATGGAAAATTATTGGCCTTCCTCATTCACATGGTCTAAAGAATACAGACCATTTATGTATATTATATAAAACTATAATCTCTTGAACTGACCTATTTTTTACAATTCTATAAATGGTGAATATGCCACCATTATAGTTTGCTAAATACACTCACTCATGAAAGACTAATAACTTACCTCAAATCAGAGTATTCACAAGGTTTGTGCACTACTGAAGAGCACCCTTTCCAAGATGTGAAGTTGTCCCATGATCAGTTTCCGTCAATTTCACAAGGAACAGCATAATACATTGTTATTATTCCATATTGTTCAATCATTTCATGAGTGAGTAGTCAATGGCACTCAATAGTAGGTAGTTGGTGTTTGATATTTATGATCTCTAGAAATAAAACACTTGAATAATATATGAAAATGTTCAATGACTAATTCAAGAATTGTACCATCAAAAATAAACACAGCAACTAATTACCTTGCAAGGAAAAGATAATCTTTACAAATTCGTCCGGAGCACAATGCGATCTCATGTCATGGAATTTTGCACCAACTTCAAGCCTCCTTAATTTTACCGAGCGAGTGTTTACGACTCGTTTACACATGGTTCAAATGCTAATCACAGATTAAGTCTAATCTTCAATCAATAATTATAGGAAATTAGGAGTCAGCTAAGATTAAAAAAACATAACCTATGATCATAACATCTTCATAAAAGTGCATTTGGATTTGGCATTGACCACAGAATTACGGCTAAGCCGTCATCGCTGCAGGCAATGTAGGTATGTAGGTATCTGTACCAATCTGTCACCAGTGACATCTCTCAATTTCTAGGTTAGCATAAAAACAGTTCAAATTTGTACAATAGATGTCGCGGGATACGGGGAACGAGTAGATTCCTAAACATGATTTCCGCTGTATGGGCAGTCATGATCAGGTCGGCAGCTTACTTGATATTTACTATTTAGCCGTCATTGGCCAAGGGAATAGCAGAGGGATAGCACTAATAGCAACCATAAAAGTTGACAATCAATATGATAATTACCTACCTGATGAGGGAAGATAAATAGATACTAAATCCTTTAGTTATTTTGTGCTTTATAGCTACATAGAAGACCTGCACCTCAGCCATCTAATACCTATTCCCCGCATAGATAGGTATGCATGCATCATGCATATTGCAGTTTTTACCGATTTTTACTCTCCAATAGTTCTTCGATTTCTTGCACCAATTCATATTAGTTTCAATAGTTTCATCTGGGTTTCATAGTAATAATCCAGGAAACAATAGTAGATAATAATAAAATAATAGACCCAGCAATTGTAGCAATACCTGAGTACATCGCCCAGGTCAACTTGAGTTGATTTGGTAATGATAATTATGTAATTAGCTGGGTAAATAGAGATAATTATACCATCAATCAGTAAATTACAACAATTGTCTATTAGTAGCATTTTTGTCTTGCTCAATGCAAGAAAACTGCAGTCAGATAAGTCGTGGATCGTAAAGTGCATTTCGTGTACGATGAAAACAAAGAAATAACCAGCCATCGAGGCCAACAAAGAACAAAGACAACTGTCATTGCCTGGTAGCTGCAGTCGTATGTTCCAGTGCTAGGTAGGTACTCACCATCGGGAGACTTCTTGCTGGCCCCGAAAAAGCTATTCGAGGAGGCCGAGGGCTTCTTCCAGCCCCGCCAGTTGTTGCACAGGCTCTCGGGCTCCGAGCTCCAGCTGCACAGCGAATCCTCCTCGAATCTGTCGGAATCCTCGAAGCTGAACCTGTCGCCCTCCCTGTCGCCCCAATCCAGCATCGCGGGGGGCACATCGTTGCCGCCTGCGGGCACGTTTCCGCCGGGCGCCGCCAGCTTCGCACAAAGGGCTCTCTGCCCCCCGACCAAGACACTCACTGCAGCTGCGGGGCCAGTAACAGCTTCATCTCGGGAACACTCTCGCTCGGCTCACGGGCTCACTCGCGTCGGGTGGCTCTCGATTCGGCCACCTTCTCCATTAATCATTAATGACAACAAATATGGCTACTGTTTTTGTGTCTCTGACAACGATTCTCTATCCGTCCGACGACTGGCCCCTGCCTGGCTGAACTGTCACTTTCCTGACTTTCCCTGGTTTGCTCCCCGCGGTAGGAGGGTTGTTTGTCAATGCAATGACCTTTGGGTGGCGCTATCTGATGAGTAGGTACCGAACTGAGGATGTTGGCAGCGCTGAACACATAGGCGTAGACAAAGATGGGTTTTGCGGTCTACAATGCATTTTCAATATGGAGAAGTGACGAGATTGATAGACTATTTGTACGTCATATTGGACTTGATCGCTACATTTGACTTGCTGATTCTTGATCATTTTGTGAATTCTATTTCATTTTCTAGTATAGATCTCACGGATAATGTCATATTTTTCCATATTAATTGTAATCGAACTATCACAATATACTGATTCATTTGTTCTATTTATATAGAACCATCTGAAACTTTATTTACTAGGCAGGTACAAGTAAGGTACCTACATAGATTGAATACAGCATAGGCTCAAAACTTACGAGTTTACCTGTATAGTTCATCCATAGATTAAATCTATGGTTCATCAATCTTGGCATTTTAGGTAACAGTGAGATATATAACAAAGGTTAAAGGTTATATCGTTTCAATGTTCATAAGCAAACACATCTGCGACTTAATATCTCTGAGATGTTGCGATGTGGCAACACTGCGATACCACGAATGTTGCATAAGTCGAAATTTCGGGATACTATAACTGCTATAAACCGGAATTCCGACATAGTGAGTTATTGGAATTAAATAATTCCGATACTAAATCGGAATAATAAAAAATAATTGCGCAAGCCATTCAACGACTTTGTAGAAATCGAAAGACGATTTGTATTATTTATCAATGAGTGGACACTGGACACGGTTGTAATTTTTTTTATGAAATGCACTTGATATTTCTTATAATCTCATTCTTATAAAAATACGGACACGACACTCTCGGAATAAAATATGGACGCCTTTGGTGTCTAAATCTGGTTCCTTTTTCTAGTAACTTTTGGTGTCAAATTGTTGCCTCTCTTCTGTAATTTGACAATTTTGACATTAATGACGTTTGGAACAGCGCCCTCTTTTGGCCCTCTTTGATCTCTTCAGGATTGTTAGCGCAGTGTGAGTACAATTTTAATTATTTTAAATTACAAAAATACGCAAAATAAACAAAGGTATGCAAAAATATAACTTTGTTCATTTTCTATATTCCCTATACAGTCATCCGAAACTGAAAAATCTTTATAATAATGAATGGTTAGCCAGATGACAGTCGAATTGTTTCACTCCTGTTTATAATTTTGGTTGTTGATGTTCACCAATACATTAGCCTCAATTTTCAGGGAACCATGGCTCCTAGGAAAGGAAAAGTACAAAAAGAGGAAGTCCAACTATCCCTTGGACCCCAAGTACGTGAGGGAGAAATCGTTTTTGGAGTGGCACATATCTTTGCCAGTTTCAATGACACTTTCGTCCATGTAACTGACTTGTCTGGTAGAGAAACCATATCCAGAGTCACAGGAGGCATGAAAGTAAAAGCTGACAGAGACGAAGCATCTCCCTATGCTGCTATGTTGGCTGCACAGGTAAGCAATAAAATTTCATTGTTGATTGGCACCATAACCTCAATTGATAATTTATTATCATTTTAGGATGTAGCTGAGAAATGCAAAACATTGGGCATTACTGCTCTGCACATCAAACTCCGTGCCACTGGAGGAAACAAGACAAAGACCCCAGGACCAGGAGCACAAAGTGCTCTCAGAGCTTTGGCTCGTTCTAACATGAAAATCGGCCGTATTGAAGATGTGACTCCTATTCCTTCTGACTCTACCAGAAGGAAGGGAGGTAGACGTGGTCGTAGGTTGTAGATGCAAAATTCTACAGCTGACATGGTTCAACACAAGTTCTTGGTTATATATTTAAGTGTACATGTTTTCTAGAAAATAAATGCTTGTTTTGAACTAGAGTTATGTTTGCTCTACAACAGTCCTTTCACAATAGTTTTCATCAGATTCCCTGAAAACGAAATTTCATATGATTTCCTGGGTGTATTCAATATTCATATTTTGTGAATAATATGAATTAATTGAGCCCAATATCCAAACACTATCTTCAACAAGTAAAACAATTTTTAGTTAAATATGCATAGAGCAGGATTAAGGGGACCAATGAAAATACTGAACATTTCATGATACATTTTTACTTCCATATAAAAAAGTTGTGCATCAGAAAACAGAATTAGAATAATAATAAATATATTCACTAATTAAAGCATTTGATACAAGTATAAGTAATAAGCATACATTGAAAAATCATCACTTTTCCACCAATTATTATGTTGCTATCCAAAGTATTAATTTGAGGATTAGAAATTGTGAAATTATTCATTTTTCTTATTTTATGCTCAAGATTATGAAATATGTGAGTCAAAATTCCAGGATTTCTACTCAGATCCTACTAATTTCCCAAGATGCAAGAAAACCTTCACTTTGTGGTCATATTTTTGGGGTTCTTTTTTATCCATTTGCCCTGTGATTGTATTAGTATAGACATGTTGCATAGTAAATCCACAAACAACATCAGAATTCAACCCCAGGTCTTCCTTTGGAGTTACATTGAGTTTCACATATGCTTTGTTTGATTTTCTCCACTTCACCAACCTAAATTGAAAAAACAAAAAGAGGACAAAAATCAGAGTTCGGTTTATAGGTCTATATTTTTCGGTCAAAATTAGATATTTCTGTTAGTGGATTTTCCCACTTTTTACTTACTTGGTATCATCTTGTATGTTGTGAGTGTCTCCAGAGTCATCATATTCAGCTGCATCATCCCTAGGAGGCAAAATGAAAGTACTGGAAGGCACATCTACATCACAGTTGACATTTTCGGAAATTTTTCGGGGTTTCACAGTGATGGTAGGAGACCTTGTTGACATGCTCATCAAACTGCTAGGTTGACTTAGCATTGATGGCAAAGACATCTGTTGTTTCTGCATTGGGAAAATTTCAATTCATCATATGTGATATAAAGGGTGTCCGCTAAAAGGAGGTCAATCCATTAACCATATATTCCTTGAGCAAAAATAATATGAGTTTCCAAATACCAGTTTTCATTTTAGCACTTCATATTCCATATACAGGGTGTCAAATTTGTAAATTTCAAACTGTTTTTTTTTCTAATTACTCGCGTTAATTGATCTCAAAATTGGTACATTACTTCAGCACAAAGAGTTACATCGTGTGAGGAAAACAAAACAGAAAATAACTGTCAAATATTCAAAATACTGGGGATCAAGTACACACTTACCCCCATATGTTTTTTGTACGTGCGCTAATGACTTCCTTCTTTAAGTGTTCAATCATTTTTGAGTGTTTTTTGATTTTTGTAAAATTCCGATGAAAATATTTGTTTTTAAGATAATTCGAAAAGTACTGGTTATTGTTTGATGCCTCGCGGCTTATGATAATCTCATAATATGTTCACATACTCCTATTTATTTCCTCGAAATTGGAAGAGGGCGTATCTTATTACGTACGGAAAGGTAAATATGGAAATACCGGGTGCTCAGAACGAATGTATTAAAATAATTTTAACACTTTTTTTTTGTAAAAATTATTTCAGTACATTTGCTCTGAGCACCCGGTATTTCCATATTTAATAATAATTAATAAGATACGCCCTCTTCCAATTTCGACGAAATAAATAGGAGTATGTGAACATTATGAGATTACCATAAGCCCCATAGGCATCAAACAATAACCAGTACTTTTCGAATTATCTTAAAAACAAATGATTTAATCGAAATTTTACAAGAAACAAAAAATACTCAAAAATGATTGAACACTTGAAGAAAAAAAGGTAGGAAGTCATTAGCGCACGTACATAAAAAATATGGGGGTAAGTGTGTACTTGATCCCCAGTATTTTGAATATTTGACAGTTATTATCTGTTATGTTTCCTCACACGATGTAACTCTTTGTGCTGAAGTAATGTACCAATCTTGAGATTAATATCTTATCAAATATGCGAGTACAAACAGTTTTTAATTTCCAACTTTGACACCCTGTATATCGAATATGAAGGGCTAAAATGAAAAATGGTATTTAGAAACTCATATTGTTTTTGTTCAAGGAATATGTGGTTAATGGATTGACCTCCTTTTAGCGGACACCCTGTATTGTGAATAATAAACATCTAATTATCATGCTTTATCATAATCTCTTTCAATCTATCATATTGTGGTATAGAATTTGTTCTGAAAATAATATCTCATATACCATTTGATTATCAAACAGCCCCATTATTTATAGAAACCAATTTATTGAATATCAGCATATCACCAATAAAATCAACAACTATATTTTTCTAATATCTCATTTTTGTTTTTCTGTAAATGTATATTAACAATGCCAAGGGCAATTTTATACATAAATTATTGCACACAGTCACACACAGATCTGTAACCTATGTAAATTCAAAATAAATATGATTAATATTCTTGAATCAGATATGTACATTTTACATGATTGTATATTAATAAATAAGCAACAAATACCTAGTTCAATTAAATTCAGATTGAAAAATAATGTCTTACCTCTTGTAAGGACAAATTTTCCATATTATCAAAACTAGGGGCCACTTCAGCTTCTTCAACTTCTTGCTGCTCTAAATTCAATTCCAAGATAGTTATGGTGGTTTGATGTTGAGATGGATTTGTGAACTTCAAAATCAGCTCACATGATTGTCCAGCTCTTAGAGGTTCCACAGTTACAATTCTTACCTCAGGAATATGATAACTGAAGGAAAAAGATGACAATCCCTCAAGAATATAGGCTAGAAGTGGGCATTATGATACTCACTAAGCAAATAGCTGGATCTTGAATTTTACAGAGCTTGGGTTGTATTCAGGCTTGCTCACATTATGTTCACAGGATTTACAGCGCAGAGTTCTCTTGATAGACAGCTGTTTATGAACAGGAAAAAGCTTGTCTACAGTTGTAGGCTGAGCCTCAGGTTGTAGAAGCCTCTGATCCACAGTTGTTACTGAAAATCAAATAAATTCACAGTTGGTTTCAATGCCAAGGAGACATTGTGTAGGAGTAAGATATTTGTGCCAAAATATCTATGAACATCAAAATAAATATTTCAACAGAATCCAGTGTTTTATTTCAGGAACTTACTGTCCATAAGATTGATTGGCTCTGTGAATAACTCTATGGGTAGTTTTTCAACCTCTGTTTTAGCTACTGCTGGTTCAGGTTCTTTTGGTTTGCTTCTCAAAAGGGGGTGTGTCAATTCTGCTGGAAGCCCAATGCGTTTGCGAAGAGCTGCAGCAGTAACCCCTGTTCTGTCCTACAATAGATAGAGAAAACAATAACTTTCAAACCTAGCAAAGCTTCATTGTGACACTTACTGTGTAACTCAAATACTTCCCACGTTGTTTCTTCTTGTCCTTCTCTTGCTGTTGCTTTTGTGCAAGCACAATAGCTTTGTACATGTCTACAAGCTCTTGTAATTGATTTGCATGTACATTTTCTCTCTCAGGCCAGCCTCCTGTAACTAGAAATCACAACAAAAATTATTATTATCTTACAGCAAACAATACAGAATTGAGACAATAGAACAGAAACTCACCAGTTGACTGGTCAGGTATTCCTACATCTCTAGAACTCCATCTGCAGAATTGACAGGACAGATAATACATTTTTTTAGGAGTAGTTTTGGTGTCTTCTGTATCAGAAAGTGTCTTTGTTGAGGCAATTCTTGTTGATAACTCTTGTTCACAACAAGGGCAGATGTAGCAGTTGCCACATCTGTTTTTCTTGACTCTAGCCTCAGATGATGGGATGTTTTCAGAACATTTTCCACAAAAATTGGTGTCCACCTAACAAATTTAATATGATATTGAACAATCCAAATACCAGATATTATACATACCTCATGACAGACACAGAAACTGCACCTTAGTTGAGTACAGTATCTACAAAAGTACAAGTTAGATATAGGTTTTAGTAAGCCACAGGTACAAGCATATCGCACTATATCTGGTGTGATTATATATGACATTTTATAATTTTCCAAATATTCAGGAATACAAAAGTTAATGAACTTGGTGAAAGTTACTTAGTTGAAAATGTTGAAATAAGAACAGGAACTATAGAATATCTTCGTCTGTTCTCATCTGCTCTGCCTCAAAAAAAAAAACAAATCAAATTTCTCCACTTTTCTGACTTTTCACAATTTTTCACTTTATTGTCTTGCCAATCTTGTCATTTTGACGTTTCGACTTCTTTCTTTCGACTTCTTTCTCTGCTCTATAAGGCGATTGGCCAAAAAAGGCAATAATTCTAAAATAGGTGCGTTCGGTTTAACAAAATCGGAGCCGAGCGAGCAGATGCAGATTTGGTGTCACGTGATCACCTAGCAGATAGAGCTAATGGTATTTAACGAACGCTCAACGAGGTAGTGTAGAGGTAGTAGATTGCGAGCGCCAGCTGTCAGAAGTAACAGAAAACAGAAACAATTCACTTAACCTTATTACTTTTAAAAACACGTCAGGGCAACAAAGTTCTTTTGAATGTTTGTTATTTATATTTTGAAAATTACTAGGGAAGGAATGATTCTGTCTCATATGATCGGTCATTAACTGTGGATCCAGGGCAGTTGTGATCGCATATATTACAGATATATAATTAATATGCTACCTACAGCAAATTCGTCGGTCATTCTGGCGATTCTGGGCAAGGAGGATTCTACAAAATTCAGTTTCGTGTTTCGTTTCCAGTTGATCGAGTCTTCAATTTTTCGACATAAAAGAGATATAATTTCAATAACATGTTGTTGACATTGATTTGTTGACAATTGACAACCGAATAACCGATCAAATCTGAATGATCTGCTCCTCAAGGCGGAGCAAACAGATTACATCTTTCAGCTCGCTCTGACAATTAACGAACACGGAGCAGATTAGACAGAGGAAGTAGATCTGATTTATCGAACGCTTTCCGAGCTAACAGATGGAATCGAGCTAACAGATATGTTATAACCGAACGCACCTAATCTTCACTTTTTTTCCATATGTCCAATAGTCCATATGGACTACGGCCAGAATAATCAACATCTTCTGAATTTAGAATTTAGCCTTTTTAGTTTTTATCGTTCAGGTTCAATCTCAATCCATGATCCACGTTCAGTCTTCAGTCTCAGTCGGTTCAATCAGGGTTTAGAAGTGAATGGTGAATGTGTGATGTGACTTTGGGTTTGAAAATAATCGTAGGTTCCTCGAAGCTTCCTGCTAGGTGTAGATTTGTAGATTAGGGTTTCTTTTTGTACAAATTTGAATTCCTACCCTGGTCTTGGGTCCTGGTACTTGGTCCAGTACTGGTCCAAATGGACGAATATCTTGGAGATATTGCTGCAGAATTCGAAGATGATCTTATTGTAGAAGAGCAAGTTGCAGGTGGCTTCTACTTCCGAGAATTATTCAAAAAGGATACTTATTCAATTTTTTATAGGCTCTTCATCAAGAGCTACCAATGTAGGTAAAGTTTCCAGCAAAACACATGCTCTTTTAGTCAATTCCAAGCAAAGGGGTAATCCTTTACTCAAGGCCATCCACAATGTCCCATGGGAATATGATGATATCATACCAGATTATCAGATGGGTTTAACCTCCTGTGCTTTATTTCTATCTCTGAGATACCACAACTTGAACCCTGATTATATTCATGATAGACTCAAGAAGCTTGGACAAATGTACCAGTTACGGGTCCTTCTTGTTCTGGTGCTATATTTACCAGAAAATGTTTTATTTGATAAAACTAAGGGTTTACTTACAGGTAGACATCAAAGATCCCCATCACTTACTGAAAAACATCACTCGTGTTTGTATCTTAGCTGACTTGACATTGATTTTGGCTTGGAGTTCTGAGGAAGCAGGAAAAATTATAGAAACCTACAAAATTTACGAGAATAAACCTGCAGATGATATAAGGGAAAGGGGTGAATCATCTTCCTATTTGAGGGTAATATTGAGAATGATTGCATTAATATTGACTAAAAATGTATTTTCAGTTGATTCAAGCATTGACTTCTATTAAGCCCATCAACAAATCAGATGCCATGGCTTTAATTGACAAATTCAAAACTTTAAAGGGTATATTGAGAGCATCTGAATTTCAGATTGCAGAAATCCCTGGATTTGGAATGAGAAAAGCTAATAAACTCTACACCACACTACATACCAAGTTCTGTAGATAACAGGGTCACTGTCTCACTTGCTCAACTGTGATTTTTCTTAATGTTTCAATGATATTTCATGTATTAGGTAATAAGTATATGATGTTTTTTATATTTATTTAAATAGAAGCTGCACTCATATTTTCTACTTCTGGCATGTTATTTTTCAAATATACCTACTTCCACAAAGATTCTTACACTTATTGGTCTATGAACCTCTGGAATATAACCACTATAACCACTGCATTACCCTCAGTTGTGGAAAACCACCAAACTTTCAAAAAAAAACTATACATTCTGCCTGAAAATGATGAGAAATTAGAAATTCAAATAATTCTGGTATACCTATAGGGTGAAAACTTCAAACTATTATTCAGGAAGCAAAACTTATTACTCAAACTAATCCAGTGTTGGAAATCCAGGGTTCGTGTATCAAAGCCACATCAAGTTTTTCACGGGCTAAGCTCCTGCCTAGGACGAAAGAGGCCGCTTTGGCATGTTGGATGTTCGCCTGAAGGAACGAGATTCCTTTCCTCTGTTGCGTCAGGTTCTAGTCTACCCCGTATTTTCGACGTCTTACCTCGAAGGGGTTTTCCCCCTTGTAATGTAATGGCCGATTTGGTTTCGTCTAAAGGTTTGACAGAAGTCCCTGAGCTCGCATTCTCCTCCAAGGTGGATTTATCAACCTTTTAGGGTCTCGCGACTTTGCCGGAAGCCTCTGGCTCTGCTTCCGATGCCGGATTTTTCTTCGTGTTTTTGAACCGGAATTGCACCTGTCCAAAACCGAAGTGTGCTTCAGTTCCTTCATGGATCCATGGTCCCGTACCTGCGGTTTCCCTGTGTAGTGTATAGTCCACTCCTGGGTGCGCAGTGTATGGTTCATATATCTTTCGTAGACGATGTGTCACCTGTTTCCCCGTCAGTCTGGGCAGCCCTTCATCATCTGGGATGAAGGCCACGCAGATGTGGGGTTCAGGCAGGTTCAGCCGGTTCAGGTATGTCATCCATTTTCACCAGCTTCAACTTGGCGCCCTCACATATGGCAGGAGGAAGCATAGCGTAGGTGAGGAATAGTGCAGCCCTATAACCAAACTTGAGGAACATCGTCCGGTAGTTTGTCTACAGTGGCCATAACGGATCGCTGTAGCAATCGAAGTTGGTCGTTTGATAACTCAGCGTCCGGGTGCTCCTGGTGGATTATATTGAAGTTAGGGATTTTATTTTGATAAATACACAGTGGCTGTTGAGGAATTGCAAGGAATAGCTGGGGAGGCAAGCCATTAGATGGAAGCTTGGCGAGGAGCAGAGCCCCGCATTACCGCAGAAAGGTAGTACTAGGAGGTCGCCTGGTATCCTAGAGGCTACGTGGGAGATAGCTGTTTTGTCCAGGCACAGCTACCATACATGTTTGTATGCCCCTCGGCACGGGTCGCGTAAAACACCTAGCGAGCGAAGCCTGAAAATCGCGGAAGATTTGAATGGCTTAAAGCAAACTATCCTCATCTATCTAGTTTGATTATGAGGAAAATTATCCCTCATAACCAAAGCTAGTAATGATATAGCCGCTGCCCTATATCATGTCCTTCGTTGATTCGCGGATGTTTATTCAATATATTAGACACCAAGACACCTTAGCTTCCTTTCAGCCATTGGGACGCGCCGTGTTGGGGTTAAGGACATCCCTGCTAGTAGGTTCTGTTGATCTCCAACATGAAGCAGCATAATATCAAGTAAATTCCAGAACACTCTTTAGGTATAAATATAATCACAAAAACATCCGGTAGTCTTTGGTCACCGTTTCTGACACTGATATACTGATCTGTCAACAAAAGTTTCATATTGATAAATTATGAAATGTTATTACCCACCTAAATCATATCTGATATGAATAAGCTCTACTTTTTCCTATGCATATCAGCGGGTATCTTACATATCGTCGTTACTCAAGAAAACGTAACGAGAACAGTCGTCACTCAACAAAACGTGACAAGAGCAAGCCCAATTGAAAAAAGAGTGTTCAAACCTGAGGCGACGCCAACCTGTTCGGACCAGAACTTTAACACAAAATTTTACGTGGGGCTACAGAAACCTCTGAGACATCATTATTGTGGAGGCACCCTTCTGAACGCCCGTTGGGTTTTAACCTCCGCCCAATGCCAAACAAATGGCCTCATTGCTGCTGTTGGAATTAACGACGTATTAGATGTTGATGTCTGGACAGAGGTGGCCAGAATGTTTCCATACCCACATTGGAACAAGAAAACTAATGAGCATGACATTGCCATATTTGAGCTTGCTGATCCTATTCAACCCAATAAAGTTGTTGAATATGTGCGTCTGCCGGACAGGCTTTTGGCATCTTATGAAATTGAATTTGAAGTATGCCGGGAACCATACTTCATGGGTATCACATACAGAGACGGCGAGTCTAAACGGGACCGTCTATTATGTGAAGATGCACTCCACATAGAGCCTTGGGACGATTGTATTGAGAAATATGGATCTATTCATCTCAACACTTTGTGTGTCTCATCATATTTTGAAGAAGCAGACGTGTGTAGAGGAGATCTTGGTGGGCCAATGATGTGTGAAGAGGTTCAGTATGCAGTGATCAGCAGCCAACGTTGCAAAGGTGACAAACCTATCACTTTCACAAGATTAGATCCCTACTTGGGTTTCATTAAAGTAGGCATGCAACGAAGTGCATCTCAGAAGATGTATATGAATGGAATGGTTTTTGTATTGTTACTATTGTATAACACAATAATTATGATAAAATGAAATTTCCTTTATACATTGAATGATATATTGAGTTAAAATCATTGTTTCAATCTAAACTGTTCTAAATATTCAATTTCTAAGGGATGAATCATAGGTCCTACAATAATTAGGGATTGTAAAGGCCCTCCTAAATCATAGTTTGACATACACCTCATACTACATGCTACAATTTGTTGGGTTTCAGATCCCACTCTTGCTAGTCCTACACACAAACTTTCTCCAGTAATACTAGGTTTCTCACCAGCTTTTGTCCTTCTGCTAACAATTTCAAGAAGCTGCTTAGATGCTTCATTCACAGTCATAAATTTGGGTGGCATAAATTCCTTCTTTTTCCTAGTCAAACTTTCCAAAGTTGGCTCTTTAACTTTGATGTCTAATAAACATAGAGTATGTAACTTGTTGCAATAGTTATTAACAATTTTGTCAAAGAAACTATCAGGTTGCCATTCATCAGTCCAATAAGGAATAGATACAGTTTCCCCAAAACTGTATAATTGCAATCCACAACAGCCTACAGCATTAAGAATGGATGCGTTGTGGATCACTTGAAACTTAATGCCTTTTTCTCTTGCTCTTAAAATGAGATCAGTGTGGGTAGTAGCACCAAAAGGGTCACCTACTACTAGTAGGGCAATATCTGTATTCAAGGAACCTTCCAAAATATCATCAGCTCCTTGTTCCACTAAATCTCTATCAGCTACTATCAATTTCCGTCCGTAAAATTCTTCCAGGGCTTCTGTACCACAAGAGAGGATAGAGGTATAAGCTTCTAAATACACCCTTTGACAACCTTTTATAATTTCCAAGCCTCTAACAGTGATGTCTTTGGGTCCGCCAAGACCCAAACCAACTATGTAGAACATTTTTCAATTATCGAAAACAGTGAAAATGGAGAAAAATCTTTTAAAATTCAAAATTCAAAACATAAACAATAACAAACATCTAACCACACTGGTCACTGTCACACTGTGCTCAGTCAGTGCTGTCAGCAGTGTCAGCACTGCCTCTCTCTTTTTTTTTATTGGTTAGGATCAGGGCTGTTTTTTTTTATATCCCTCCAATGAGTGTATATTTACCTCTGTTTAACACATGCAAGTAAGAAGAAAACATATACATCGATTGCGGAAACACTCCACCAGATCCTGCCAATGGAATTTGCTATGAATCTTCTTCTTGTTTTTTCTGTTAAATTCATTATGTCACATGAAGGATGAAGCACAGTGATGAAGGATGTCATTCATGTCAATTAATCTGTAAACAAAAATATGGCGGATGCTGCTGCCAGGCAGCTTCAATACGAATATAAAGCGGTATGTATTTGTTATTATTATTGATAAAATTTTAGTTTCTTATTTTCCTCATTATACACTTTTCAATACTATATTCACAAATCGCTTCGACACGAGTTTTAAGTTTGTTATCATTCTCAGGACAATAGGTTATGTTTGTTAAAACGATCTGAAACGTTATAATGCTTTGTTAATAATATTTTCCTTCCATTACAGAATTCCAATCTTGTCTTACAAGCTGATGTCCGTCTCATCGAGAGACGCAGTCGAGATGAAGCCACAGGAGAAGTTATGTCCCTTGTGGGCAAATTGTCTGGTACCAAAATGGGGGATAAAGCTCAAAGGACAAGACCTGGTAAAGCAGAGGAGCGTAAAGTGAAGTAAGTCCTAAACACTTCAATTTTCCTAGACCTAGCCAATGATAATTCCATTTTTCAGACGACAAAAGAGAGATGAAGCACAGTATGACTTTGCTAGAATGAAAGGTGCCACCCTACTATCTGAAGGAGTAGATGAAATGGTAGGTATAATTTATAGACCTAAGACCCAGGAAACCAGGCAGACATATGAGGTACTCCTTAGCTTCCTTCAAGAGGCTTTAGGTGACCAACCAAGAGATATTCTTTGTGGTGCTGCTGATGAAGTCTTGCAGGTACTGAAAAATGATAGATTGAAGGAACGTGAAAAGAAAAAAGAAACTGAAACTCTGCTAGGTGAGTTTGTTGATACTCAATGATTTTGAAAAATATTGTGGAATGTTTGTTTTAGGCCCCATTGCTGAAGAAAGGTTTGCATTGTTGGTGAATCTGGGTAAAAAAATCACTGATTTTGGTAATGAGGAGAATAAAAATACACCAGCTGAAGAAAATATTGATGAGGCATATGGCATTAATGTACAATTTGAAGAATCTGAAGAAGAAGATGATGAAGATATGTATGGGGAAGTGCGTGAGGAAATGGATGATGAAGAAGGTGAAGAAGCTAAAGAAGATGGAGCTATCCATGCTGAAAATGTAAGAGATTTACCATTTGGCATATCTTAGTTTTTCAGTTATTCTGCTGTTTGTAATAATTCACTTGTGTTAATCTTTAGTTGGGTGGTGTGGAGGAATTAAAGAAAGAGAAGCCACTCCATCCATTAGATATAGATGCCTATTGGCTGCAAAGGAGGTTGTCCAAAATATATGATGATGCAATGATTTCCCAAGCCAAAGCTGCAGAAGTATTGAATGTCCTTAGAGATGCCAGTGATGATAGGGACTGTGAAAACCAGTTGGTTTTGCTGTTGGGATATGATTGTTTTGATTTTATAAAACAGTTGAAAAAACATAGACAACTGAGTGAGTGCTATTTTTTATCAATATTTTTTTATGAAATAGGCTAGTTCTAAATTGATAGCTCATGCTAACTGAATTTCAAATCAGTTTTCATCCATATAAATTAGAATTGTTCAAATTTGAAAGGGGTGTGGACCAATATCTACAAAAATGGGTGGTTATTAGCATGACATTTTTTATTTTTGATTCTTATTCATTCATTCCAGTCTTGTACTGCACCTTGCTGGCCAAATCCCAAAGTGATGCAGAACGTCAAAAAATCAAGGAAAAAATGTCTGATGATCCAGCTCTGAACCGAATTTTGAAGCTTCTAGAGACAGGTGAGATCACTGCCAAGTGATGAATAGTAATGGAAAGAGGATAGATGTATTATCTTTCTAAACATTATTTTCCCTACTAAAGTCAAAGATTTATCAGAAAATGATTTCACATTGTTTTTAAATTTTTCAGTTGATTTTGAAAAATACCTACCTGATAATTGAGTTTTTTGTCTTGTTTGAACTTTTTGTTTTCATGAATTTATCTGATTTTTTCATCATTCTGATTTTTGAAATCTGCAGAATTGGTTTTATTATTCTTTCAATTCCCATGTTCAGTTGATGATTTGTTTTTCCAAAATTGTTTTACAACAAAGAATTTTCAAGAATCAAGAATAGTTTCAAATTTTTTATTTCACAATTTTTTCTAGTGATCGACCGATGCCGATATATCGGCTATATATTGGCTATATCGGCCGATGTATAAATAAAGACAACCATAGCAGCCTCAAACATTTTTTTTATATTCAAATTTAAAGTAATATTTGAAATAAGGCAATCTTAAGAAATTATGGTAGATATAACATGAAATAGGCATTTAATATGAATAATGTAGTTTTGGCAAATTATCATGAAAAAAATAAGTGTCTCGGTTGTTTCTGGATTCAGCCGATTCCTTTTCGCCGAATTTACGGTTATAAGGTTATAAATTATATTACAGAATATTCAGATTTTAGAGATTTTAGACAATAATAATGAATAATGAATGTTATCAATTTAAAAAGGCCGATATGCCGATATATACCGTTATTGGCCAACACATTATCGGTATCGGCCGATTATCGGTATCACTATCATATCATATCAGTCGATCACTAATTTTTTCTCAATATCAACTACTCTGACTTTTTTGATCAGAATAACCAAAATCTACATGGAACAAACACATTCCAAATTAATTATTACAATTCAACATCCACAATGATTTGTTTCCGAAATTTGTTTCAATTTATTCAAAAAAGGTTGTTCCAAATTAATTTCAAATTTTTTCTCAAATGGGAAGTTTCAATCAAGTGGTCATGCCACTACTTCTTTAGGTATTTTGAGCTTATGAATGATTCAATTGAAAAACAAATTAAACCATCATAAAGAAGAAGGTTGGGACTAAATCATCATAAAGAAGAAGGTTGGGACTAAATCATCATAAGGAAGAAGTTTGGGACTAAATCATCATAAATAAGAAGGTTGGGACTGGGGATCATTATCATATGGAGTTGAAACTCATTCATTCATTCATGGATGATACAGATTTCTGAAAAACGTAAACATTGAAATATTTGTTATCTCAGTACAATGATTTTCACTCTCACCACTTGGCGCTACTGAAACATGAGGTCAATGTCAAAGTCAAAAATCCCAAAATTTTCCCGGATAGCCCTAAAAGCTATGGCCTGTTTTATCTAGTTTTATCGACATTTGCTGATCCGTAATTTTACGAGAGAATGTTTTAGGGCCCATCTTGTATTTATTATATATTCAAAATATTTCGAAAATTGGATTGTCAGGTAATTATACTATATATGCAGATGAGACTACTTTTATACGAAAACAAAAACCCCATAATTCTAGAAAATACTATCAACGAAGATTTAAAAAAATTTGAAAAATGGCTTTATTCAAACATTTTATCATTTAATACCAATAAAACTGAATATATATTATTCCATCAGAAAAATAAACAGAATATTAGTCTCAATCTCCAAATTAAAAATGAAATATTGAAAAGAACTACACATAATATAAAGTATTTTGGTATGTGAATTGATGAAAAATTGAAATGGGACAAGCATATAGAGGTTCTGATACAAAAAATATCTCCAATCATTGGAGCTTTGCGAAGATGTCCTAAACTTCACAAAAAAGTCTTAAACATAGTACTTCATTCTCATATACTCAGTCGTATTACCTATATGATAAACGTTTGGCGATCTTGTTCAAAAAATTATTTCAGTAGAATATCTGCGCTTTATAAGAAAGCACTGAAAGTATTGTATCGCTTCTCATTAAGCTAGTTTCTCAATAAACAATAAAAATTCATGAACCATGTTCCAGGCAGAGGCGACGACGACGACTTGGACGACAGCTCGGCGTCTCGCGCCCGGCGTCGCCAGACCGAAAACGACGAAAGCGACCTGGCGCAGACGCAGGTGGCCGGCCAGCGCCATCTGGTGGACTTCGAGGACCTCGTGTTCGCGCAGGGCTCCCACTTCATGGCCAACAAGCGGTGCCAGCTGCCGGACGGCTCCTTCAGGAAGCAGCGCAAAGGTTCCTATTAAACGAATGATTTTGTTTCAGTTCTTCAATTATTTTTGGGTGTATGATAAATTGATATTAATCATATAGGGCGTGGAAAGAAATTCTGAATTGAGACTCTATCACGAATCTGTCATTAGAGGTCTATAAAAATGACAAGTTTCCATCGTTCAAGATTTTAATTAAACAAAAAATATTTTTTATTGGGGCAATTCTATTTTGAAAGAATGGTAAAAAGTGCTGCCTTAGACTAATCGGTTGAGTGGCAAATTTAAATTCGTCAGCTTTCCATCAAATGAAAACATTTTTGCGATTTTTGCAATTTTCAGGCATTTTTGCGATTTCTGCAATTTTCAGGAATTTTTGCAATTTTTGCAATTTTCAGGAATTTTTGCTATTTTTGCAATTTTCAGGCATTTTTGCGAATTTTGCAATTCTCAGGAATTTTTGCAATTTTTGCAATTTTCAGGAATTTTTGCTATTTTCAGGAATTTTCGCAATTTTCGCAATTTTCAGGAATTTGTGCAATTTTTGCTATTTTTGCAATTTTCAGGCATTTTTGCGATTTCTGCAATTTTCAGGAATTTTTGCGATTTTTGCAATTTTCAGGAATTTTTGCGATCTTTGAAATTTTCAGGAATTTTTGCAATTTTTGCAATTTTCAGGA